ATCCACACATGCTCATCAGTGCCAGGCTTATGGTGGCAGCATTCTGCTTTGTTGTTAATTACTCCATTTTATTAACCTTCAGACGCTTGACTTGTTTTTAAAGATTTGCCCATGGCAATGAACTGCAGCAATTTATCTGGAATATTACATGCATTTGGCTTGAATATGCAATGAGGACCCCAGTGTCATTAAACTCCTACAAGGTACGGTTGAGCAACAGAATGATTTAAGATGCACACTGCTAATTTTCCAAGGCCTCTTGCCAGCTTATAAATTTTGTGATTCCATAGATCATAATGACTCAGCAGGGAAGAAGTACTCAAAATATACTTTAAATAGCTTCATTTACCTCAAGGTTTAATTTTTAATGCAACTTGTCAATATGCATGTGGTAGAAAAGGGGAAGTTTTAACCTAAAGAATTCTAACTACAGTAGACCCTTGAGTTATGACCGACCTAACATATGAACCTCTTGGGTTACGTCCAGAATTTTAGTTGGTTTTTTTTTTTTTTTGAGTATCGGGGATCGAACTTGGGTCCTTGCGCTTGCACAGCAGGCAGCGAAACCACTGAGCTAAATCCCCAGCCCCAGAATTTTAGTTTTTAACTTACAAAAAGTCTTGAGTGATGACCCTAATGCTGGCTGCTTGTGCTTCCAGATGGTCTCAGATACAGATCTGACCCTTAAGGAGTTTTGGAAAGAATCTTACAACATTCTTTCCTGTGTAGGGTTGAGAAATCCTGGGCCAGTGTCTCTAACAACACTGAGATCCGCCTGTGTACGGCAGAGAGACCAAAGGCTGTGTAGAGGAGCCTGAGCCTTCACTGACCAACCTGAGTTACAACCAGCCCTCGAGAAAGCATAGAGTTTGTAAGTCAAGGGTGCACTGTATGATGGAATTAGCATCTCTAGGAAGTGTTTCTGCTTTCCAAGCTAAAAGTCTGTGTTGCTGACTGGTGCTCAGGAAAAACATCTGTAGGAAATCTTTTCTAATTTATCCTTCAGGCAATGACAACAGATTACTCTTTCCAAAGTTTCACCTGAGTTGGATAATGCTATTTTATAAAAATTCATAGTTATTTTGTTTTATTCTTTGCAGTGCTGGAGACTGAACCAAAGGCCTTGCACATGGTAGGTAAACATTTCACCACTGAGCTACTCAAACTTAGAGTAATCAAAAAGCCAATCTCTATGCATGTGGCAACATCAGTGCTTCCTTGGACACCAAAGCTAGACACCTGGGAGTCACCTGGTGTCACTTGGGACTGGGGTCTCTGCTCACTGGTCCATCCTGCCACCTGACTGCTGTGGTGTCACCCTGCTGTCCTAGATTAGGGTGATGTGGATCCCTCTAGCAGGTTTCTAAGTGATCCCGTTTCAGGCTCCTTTACTTTGGATCTACCCTTCCTTACCTCTCTAGCTACTTTGGAATGAGTTCAGGGCAAGCCTTGCCTGGGCGTCCCAACACATAACAGCCTTTAATAGCTCCCCAGGACTTAGAACAGGCTCAGGTTCCTTAAAGTGTCATTGAGGGCCCTCCAAACCTGAACCCTTTTACCTCTCTGATGACCATCAGCACTTCCTGGCTCCTGGGAACAATGGACTGAGGAAGAGCACAAAACTCTCTGATTCTTCTACTCTTTCTGCAACTTCATCCTTTCTGCACAAAATACCCATCTTCTTTCTATGCTGTATATACCAGGGCCCTACAAGTTATAAAACAAGACTCTAACCATGTCCACATATAGCGGCATACATGTCACTTGTTTTGAAATCATCAGTTTTGGTCTAGACGTGTAGCTCAGTGGTACAGCATGTGCCTAGCTTGTGTGAGGCACTGGATTTGCAAAAAAAAACAAAGCACTTTTAATGCCTAATCAACAATCAGTTGTCTAGACTCACCATAATTTAACAGTGTTCCTAACATTGCACATTTAGACTATTTTTCTAATATTTACTGTCTTTAACCTCAAGTCTAATGTCTCAGACTTAGGTGTCTCAGACTTAGGTCTCTGCTGCCCCATTCCTCTACGTGGGGCCACTAAATATCACCCCTTATTTAAAGAGGTTTAATGCTTTCACACTGCCGGTGGAATTCAGGTCAAGCATTTTCTTGAGGATGTTCATAGCTCATCACAGCCTCTCCCCTCTACTTTCTGGGCTCCTCCCTGGGATTCTCCTCCTCACTCTCCCGCCCTCCCCTCCCCCAGGACCTGCCAGTCCGAGTCCACCACATTCTCACGCTGCTCCCTGACGCTGTCTTCCCGAGTGTCATCATCTCTCCTTCTACACCACTGCCCCTTCGCACCCCGGATTTAGACCAGTGTCTCCATAAGTCTCCTCGTGTCTCTAAAACATACTCCTCCGTGAAGTGGGGTCTGTGGAGCCCCCCCAGCCTGCGCTACATTTGAAGAGTACTCACATACCTGGCAGAAAAACACTCCCAAAACCAGTATTTAGAATGCAGGCTCCCGGCAGAGACAGCCGCACCATTCACTGTGGGAAACAGTCACTGAGAAGCATGTTCAAACTGCTACTGAACGCACTCTTTAAGGTTCTTTTTAACAAAACATACATGGTAACTCTCCCTTGTAGTAAAATGCACAGAAAACCTGATAGTCATTAAAGTCCAATCTGTTTCGATATAGCTGCAGATATGTACCTCGTGGCATTATAGAGAGGTAACCCCCAGTGTCTCTCGTTTGAGCTAAAAAGCTCACGATGATCTTTAGTCCAGGTCCAGCATTTATGATGCATTAAGTAGCTTTGTGACTTAAACCACGCAAGCCTGAGTCTCTTATCTCTGGAGTGAAGGTAATTAACTCCTACTTTACTGGGTAGCTTTGAGGAGCCAAATCTGGCTGGCAGATCTGCTCAGCAAATTCGTACTGACTGGCTCCTGTGTGAAGGGCACAATGGGCAAAGTCTCTCCTCTTCTGGAGCTCACCCTCCGAAGGAAAGCAGGAGACCCACGGTAATCAGTCCACGGATGACTGTGGGCACCATGCGGCAGTAAAGGAGGGGATGTGACAGAAGGTCAGCATTGCATGGCTCGGTACTGTTGGAGAGGGCTGCTCTGTGGAGGAGAAAGCTGCACTGAGAGCTCGAAGATGAGAATGAGACACACAGAGAAGCCGCCAAGCCCGTCCCAGGCAGGAAGGACAGACACTCCCGGAAGTGGAAAACACTTTGGCCAGGAGGCTGTCATGCAAGTGGGCAGAGGTAAGGTCAGCAAAGTGTAGCATGGGTAATAGTAACTGCTAGGCTCTAAGCGTCGCTTTCCTTTGTGGTTTTACTGTACATAGGACTTTTATTTAAGCAGTTTCAAATACTTTTTTTTTGAGACCGGGTCTCACTATGTAGCTCAGGCTGGCCTTGAACTCACTGTGTAGCCCAGGCTGGCCTCGAATTTGTGGCAATCCTCCTGCCTCAGCTTTCTGAGTGCTGGGATTACAGGGATGCACCACCACACTAGGCTCAAATACTTTTAAAGTGAGCGATATAGGAGGAAAAAATCGAGGAATGTCATTAATTAGAAATAACACTAGGGCTGGGGGTATAACTCAGCAAGCAGTGCAGCGTGTGCTTGGCATGTGCAAGGCCTTCAGTTCCATCCCCAACACTAAAAAGCAATTACTAATAGCAATTTATATACATACTATATATAATTTTATATTATATATATATTTTTTTTTTTTGTAGTGATACGGATTGAGCCCAGAGCCTTGTGCATGCTAAACAAGGGATGAGGACACGCTAACTTTATAAGCCTGCCCAGCAATAGCATCCGTTGTACTTTTTACCACACTTCATAATCACACTCACAAAAGAGGAAACCTGTAACTTCAGAAAGTGAAAACTGAAATAAGAAATGAGTGTTCAAATCAAGAGGGAGTATTCCAAGGGGGACTAATGTCAGTATGTCTTTTATTCTAAGAATGTTTAAATTTCACTTTGGCTTTACAGTTTTGTATCTATGGAATATAGAAGGGGAACACAAAATAAGTGAGTAATAATTGTCACAATAGCAGTGACAATTATTACCATGAGCTATACCACAGCCCCGAGAAATAATCTGAATAGCTAACTTTTATTTTATTACTATGTCCTTAATTTGATTTAAATATTTCATTTTTCCAGTAATCTCATATGGTAAATGCTATTACTACTTCTTTTTACCAAAGAGGAAATGAGACACAGAGAGTTTTATAAACTTCCCAAAGCTGACTGAGGGAACAAATGCAAGAGCAAGATTTGAATCAGGCTGTCTGGCTTCAAAGGTGGAGCTCTCAGCAGAGCATGATCCTGCCTCAGTTACAGAATTCTAATGCATCAGCTATTGGATGGTCCACAGGTCCCCCTGAGTCTGTAACAGTTTTGTATTTGCTACTAGCAGGAAATACATTTGCTATTTTTTTTTGGTACTGGGGATTGAACTTGGGTCCTTACGCTTGCGCAGCAGGCGGTGAAACCACTGAGCTACATCGCCGGCCCAGGAAATATATTTGCAATCTATAATCTATCAAGATCCACAATGCTTCAAATTCTATTTATTATTAAGGAATAAGGTCTAAGGGAAAATGTAAAAATTTTGCCCCCCAGGAAAAATAAAACAACTTGTTGATTAACATTATTAATTAATACTCTCTCGATTTGCAGAACTTGTCTATTACTAAATTCTTATCCAGAATTTATGACATGATGTTTATGTGGGTCAGAGAACATGCAGCTTACAAACAGCTACTGACGTGCTCTCCTGAGGATAGCAACAATTTATGGCAAGCAAACACAATGAAGTGGATTTCATTATTTAAATGATTCTGATTATAGAAAGTAAGCAAGCCAGATAGTCTAAGGGTTGGTCAAAAAAATCTTTTGCAATGACTCAGTTTCCGGGTGGAGTTGTGTTTTAATGTGCATCCCTGATGTGCCCAAAGCGTGCCCAAGGTCAACGCTTCCAGGCTGCCAGGCACCGCGCGTGGTCTGCCCCCTCACTTACATTCCCATCGTGGTTCGGGCAGGAGAGAGGCTTTCCTGCAGCCACAGCGGTGACCGTCTCCAGGATGGAAGACTCCTCGACGTTGCTGCCTGGCGTCCGCTGCAGCACATCCATGAGGTTCGTGATGAAGAAGTTGTTCTGGAGCGCAGCCACCCCTTTCTCGGGCAGGATGGAGGTCTGGCGGCACACTGGGCAGGACAGGGTCAGGCTGTGGGCAGGAATGTAGTTCTGCAGGCACCTGATGGAGGGGGACACAGGGGGACAGTCAGCACTGAGATGCCGGGGACCGAGCACCACTTCTTGCAGGTATCATACACGGTCTCAGAAACTAGGTAGGCTACTTTGCAGAAACACCCTTCACCATGTCCTTTACTTGGGAAGTATTTCAGAAACCGAGGGCTAACCTCACCTCACATTGGCCTGTCAGCTGGCCAGGCAATACTCAAGGTCATGCACAAGGAAAAGAAAAATGTCACTGAGTTGCATGGAGTGTTCTAGGTCCTTGGCATACAGTGTGGAACCAGAAGAGCAGCCTCAGCCTCCCTGGGAGCTGGGTAGAAACACAGACTTGTAGGCCCCATCCAGACCTACAGAATCAGATCCTATGTGACTTGCACACACATTAAAGTGTGTAGCACTGGGCTCAAGACTGTGTGACTTTTACAGGAAGTCCTACATGAAGAAGCAGGTCATGTGTTTTATTAACACTGAAATTGATTTTACACCCAGAATCACAATTGGATATTAAAAACCAGAGCCGGGGATTTAGCTCAGTAGTTTCACCCTCTGCTGTGCAAGCGCAAGGACCCGAATTTGATCCCCGGTACCAAAAAAAAAAAATACATACCTAAACCTATTTTATTTCAACCCTATCTTACAAGACGTCTCAACAGCATCCATCAAATGTGACCACCATTTTGCCATTTTATCTCCCCTTGTCTTTATGACACCATGCTCATCTGGTCCTACTCATGTCTGCTCTGTTTTCTGAGTTGATGAAATTTGGATTTAGTTGAGGCTTCATCCTAAGAGCTCTTCTGCTCCTGGATATTCTACCCATGTATGCGGTGACAGGCAGGACTCGAATGCTGACATTTCTGCTTCTCCACCGATGTCCCCTGAGTTCACATCTGCAGACCAGCTGCCCCCCTTATGTCTTCCCTCAGGTGCCTCCCAGGACCTAAAGCTGAACATGTCCAAGCCACACCAATGATCTTCTCCCAAACTGTATCCTCTTCCATCTGGATAAAAGGCACCTCCATCCGTTCATCTAGGACAGGGGTGATGACCCCATGGCACATGTGCCTCAGTGGGCTGCTTGTTACCACTGAAACCTCTAAGAGGTTCGCCATCACTGATCGAAGCAAACCAGGAACGAAGAGTCCTTCATAAAATAGTGACTCCTCTACTGTTCTGCATTCCCCACATCCAACCCATCACCAGAGCCTGCAATTCCTTGTCTTTCTGGCCTCTCCAGTTCTTTTCATTCCTCTTGCCCTTCTCTGCACGGCAATCAGAATAATCTTAAAAATGCAAAAGGAACCCTCTTCCTCTCCTCCCCTCTCATACAAAGACTCTTCCATGCATGGCTTCCTACGTGGTGAATAAGAATCCATGGGCAGGAACAGACCACACCTGATACGACCTCACACTTACAGCTTTGCTGTCTCCTCCTCACACTTGCTGCCTGAGAGCCACAGTGGGCTCAGGTTCATTCCATGTGTCATGGTCCCTCTTAGGACAGCAGTGCTGAATGTACCTGAAATTTGTTCCTCCTACTCATTCCCCTTTGCTTCATTTTCTCTCACACTTGGGATTTCTGCAATCACTTCTGCAGGAGAGCCTTCCCTGAGTGGGGCAAATGCCCATACTATATGGTTGTCTGTGTAATTCCGGTGGGTAGCATTTGTCTGCGGTTTAATTTCACATTAATCTGAGCAATTGGGGGTTAATGACAGGCTCTTCCACTCGGCTAGTAATGGTATCACGCTTTGGTCTCCTTCCAAGCCTCGCTGGTGTTTGGAGGTAGGAAAGCAAAGATAAAGATGCCTGCAAGCAAGAGGGTATGTGTGTCCAACATAAGGGGCCCCAGGGCTAGTTCTAGAGACAGAACCCAACAGTGAAGTTCTGTCTCTACAGAAACAAAATCTTCCCATTTTAAGGAAAAGTCACCTTCACTTTCAAAAGGAAGTATTTCACCATGTGTGATGCTGGAACAATTTTAATGCACAACCTTCCGTGGGTACTCACTACAGTAGGATCTTGTAAGTCACCACCACTAGTTACTGGATGGGAAACGGGGAGAGGGGACAGACCCAGGGCTACTCCGCAGGATGCTTCTCACCAGCTGGAATAAAGTAAGAGGACCCAAGAAACAGGCAAGTCGCTGAACCTAGGACTGTGGTAGCTCTGCCGAGTTCAGACTGAGCAGCCAGGCACCGGATCCAAATCAAGTAGGGGTCTCACCATATGGGCACTGGCACTGGGACACACGGACAACTGGCTGTTATTTGTTTTAGCTATATCCGTCAAGAAGTGGGGGGAAATCACACTCTATTTAATTAGTCTGGAATATGAATTAAAAGCACTTAAGCCAAAGCATAAAACAAAAAGTACTGGTGCACTATGTAATACCACAAAAACAACAAAACAAGTCTATCCACACACATGTGCAACAATCCCAAAGGAATAAAAACCACAGCTATCAGTAACAAACCTACCTTTTTGCTCCACCCATCACCACCGCCAAGGACGTGGCTATTCTTCTGCACTTGAGACCCCCATCAACTCAAAAAACATCAAGTGGATGTCTCAGATAACCAATGTTAAATAGGTGGTAAATGGAATCAGTACATATTTGAAGCCATTAGAAGTCCTACTTTCCTGTTCTATAATAAGCAAAATATTTTATGTATCTTAGATAAAACAGTATAGAAAACTTACTTGGCAAAGTGCTATAATACATTATTACCATAATTGTTATTAAGAAAACATATAACTTTACTAAGAAAATACTTAAATTAGGCCACAGAGGGCCAGGGATTTAGCTCAGTGGTTGCACCTCCTGCCTTGAAAGCACAAGGATCCGAGTTCGATCCCTGGTACCAAAAAAATAAAAAAAATAAAAAAATTAGGCCACAAATAAACTAACTACAGACTTTTAATGCCTTATTTCTCAGGTGGTAAGTTAAACAATGGGGTAAAGTGTATTTTGATAACTCATTCACACCCCTCTCCAAAAAGATAACCTCTCAGGAAGCATAAATAGAGCATGGTGGCACACACCTGTCACCCAGTACTCTGTGAGGCAGGTTCCAGCCCAGCTCGGGGAACTTGGCAAGACCTGTCTATAAATAAATAAATAAATAAATAAATAAATAAATAAATAAACAAACAAACAGCTGGGGGTACTGCAGTGCAAAGGCCCTAGGTTCAATCTGAAATGACCCCTTATGTATGCAGGTATTTTCACTTTACCTGTTTCAGGGAGGAAATGACAGATTTGTAATTGGCCCCCGGGAAAGACGCTCTGTGAGGGAACAGCTGTCAGCAAAATCATTCCACAAAGAACAAAGGAAAAAAAAATCACAAAAAATGTTTAATCTTGAAATAGTTAATGCTCTGTCTCCTTTGGCAATGAACCAGTGGTCCTTCCTGGGTTGCTTTCTCCTTGCAAGTATGTGAAATACAGTAGGTTGCTGGCAACGCATGCCTTGGTTTCCAGATGTCTGTCGGGAGGACAGAGACTCACTGTCTCCCGGGGTAACACAGTTCCGGGAGAAAGCCCCATGGGCCGTGGCAGGAGTCAGGCTGTACAAGCCCCTCCGAGGAGCTAGCACCGAAGAGGCTTACCTCTCGCAGAAAGTGTGCAGACAGGGGAGGACCTTGGGATTCTTGTACCGTTCCAGGCATATACTGCAAATCAGAAACTGTTTGTCGATCTGGCGTACCACGGGGCTTGGGATGTTGGTGGCTTCACTGGCCATCCTAGACCACTGACATGGGGGGCCGGCTGTCTGTGACCCTGCACGCTGCTGCTGTCAAACAGAAAAACCAAAACAGAAACATGTGTAACAATCTGCAAGTGCCCAAGTCAGTACCGCCTCCTTCCCTCCAGGCATCTTGTTATAAATACAGGTAGGTGGAAGTAAACTTTAGTGACTCTGAAACGAGCACAGTTGAGTTGCACTGCTTCGCAAGGGAAACAGTGCTCTGCCTGCTGTTTGTTTTGCAAATCAATAAAATAATCCCATCTTCATGCAAACAGAGCAAAGTAAAAGAGAGCGTGCTCTCTGGGTTTTCAAGGCTGAGTGGTAGCCAAGGGGATAAAAACTTTTTTTTTTTTTTGGTACTGGCGATCGAACTCGGGTCCTTGCACTTCCACAGCAGGCGGCGGAACCACTGAGCTAAATCCCTGGCCCAAGGGGATAAAAACTTACATAGCTATGTCTGTTCATGCCTCAGCAGGACTGTAGTTGAATATATACAGCGGATGCTGATGTTACGACCCACTTGACATATGAACAACTTGGGTTACTACTGGAATTTTCATTTAACTTATGAGCAAAGTCTTGAGTTACGAACCGAGTCCCAGTCCCTTGTGCTTCCAGATGGTCTCAGATACATATCCAGAACCTTAAAGGGTTCTGGAAGGAACAATGACATCATCCTTTCTGTGTGGGGTTAACTGAGAAATCCTGGGCCAGTGTCTCTCTAAGGACACAGATCTGCCTGAGTACAGAAGAGAGACTTTGAAGGCTGTGGAGAGGAGCCTGAGCCTTCAACTGACTGACTTGGGTTACAGCCAGCCCTCTCGAATGAATTGAGCTCGTAAGTCAAGGGTCCACTGTATTTGCCTTTTAGATTCTTACTGAATTCAGTATTCCCAAGTATTGATTGTTCTTGAAGAGATCAGAGTATGTCACTCAAAATATGCCACTTTGGCCAAAGGATTATTTTGAGCAGAAGGCTGCTAAGAAACAGCAGTCACAAAAGGAGCTCTCTGTTCTCCCTCACTTGCCTAAAATGGACATAAATATCCCATCTGTAAGGAAAACGTCCACCTATAAAGCGTCCCCTCCCTCCTATCCCAGGAAGAGAAGGTTCTTAGCCACGGAGACTGTGAGGTGAGTCTGCCTAACACACCTTTACTAAACAAACCTGCTCTACCACCCCTTCCTACTCACCATCCCACAACTTACAGCCCTCCTTTCCTTTGTCTAATCGCTTCTCCACGATTTATGACCCTTTATCAAAATGGTGTAGAAGTTCATAGTCCCCAAGCACATAATGCAGGAGAGTAGAGAGTACAAGTTTTTCTTCCCCTGCATTCTAATCTGCAGAGCAGTGCTCATTAGAAGTTTTGATTATACACTTTACATGTGGTTCGACGTGTTTTCTTCAGAACTAAAGTTTTGTTGGTTGGAAACTAAAGTGTATCTGCCATGAAGCAAGGACAAAAATCTAGAGGGGGTCCCTGTTATTTTAAAGAACTGCCCATTGGGAGCTGGGGATATAGCTCAGTGGTAGAGCTATTGCTAGCTCTTGTGAGGCTGTGGGTCCGAGCTCCAGTACCACTCAAAAATAAATAAATAGCCAGGAAGGAGGAGGGAAGGAGGAGGAAAGGAAGAGGAAAGGGAGGGAAGAAAGGAAAAAGGAAGATGGATCTGCTGATGTACATGTATGTGCATTTAAGGGACCTGGAAAAGGGAATTAATTCAGAGCAGGCTTCAAAATGTTGGGATCATTCCAGAAAAGAAGAAATTAGAAGAGAACAACAGAGAAGAAAGCAGAGAGCCCAGGGGTGCAGAAAGGAGGGAAAAGTTATAAAGCACAGCTTTGTTAGGCAGGAAGTTAGACATTAGCAGGCTTAGAGACAGGTAGCTAGGGACAACATAAAAAGCAAAGAAAACATGTTTTTTAAATTCATTTTTCCTTTGTTTTCATAATCATTAGCTATGGATAAAATCCAAACAAGCTATAGCCCCAGAGAATCTCCCCTTCTCTGAGCACACTGATAAGGCCCAGGGCTCTTACAGTACAAAGTCCAGACACCTGTGAGTGGGTGGAAAAACCTCCAGGTCTCCAAACAACCTAGAGGGCAACATTCCACCTGAGGAGTAAACAGGGGCCTCCTTTCCTCTGAAGTTGGTCAAAACAGCCCATTTTCCTCAGGAAAGAACAATGACCCAGGAGGCAAGAAATAACAATCCTTAAAGACCCAAGTAATCATAGAGACAGAACCTGAGGCCCTCAGGGCACCTGGCTCCACCAGGCCTGCATGTCTTCACACTTTCACACTTGAAGGTGTATTCTCTGTCTTGCTCTGAAAATCTATCACTTCTAAATGCTACCTATATTCTACACATCGGCCCACACGTCTGGGTCTGAAATAGTTCCTCAAAGATACAAAGAACCATGGAGCGAACATCACCAGGTCCTCACAGTGTTAGGACCTGGCTTCCTGGTGACCACAGCTCCATTTACCATGCTGAAGAGTTCCTGGCTTCTATACCAAAGGGCAAACTAAGACCGAAGTAAAATTCACACCTATTTGGTAAGGTGTCCACAGCCCTCGGAATCTTTACCAGAACAAAAAAGTAGTTAATCTTCAATATAATTCTAGAAGAAGTAGCATGATTATTCTCAATCTATGCATAAAAAAAAACAAAACACACACTTAGTTAAGGTTACCAGAATGCAAACACAGATGTAAGTCTCTGAAGCCTTTTCAGTCCCTAAACCACTCTACCGCCCTTGACCTTGTGAGCAATGGAGGCTTGGTTTGTATGTGACACTTTAACATGGCTTAACCTGTGTTTGAGGCTGGGAAATCCGCCATATTTATAGAATCAACAGTTCCACACTTTCTAAGGGAAACGCTCTTTTCAAACACCAAATCAAATTTTTGAAAAGAATTTCCGTTGTTATTAAGAAAACTTTTTTTGCACATATTTAAGCGTAGCTACATATATGACACGGCCATTTTCCAACTCTGTACTTTCCAAATAAGTTCATTAAAGAGTATGATCAACAAACAAATAGCACCTGCTATCCCTGAGCCACATTCCGACAGAGCTCAGGAATAGCAAAGCAGACTAGGTGTGAATATCTTATTAGCCAGCATTATCTGCTAGGCTTTCTACAGGTTGTCTCTAAGAACTAGAAAAGGGTCTTCATTGACTGGATTAAACATGGTTCATTTCTCGGGAGCTCAAATGTTGGCACACACTGTTTTTTGTAAAACCCCATCCCTATGACATCAGAATAGGGAAGGGATGGATTTGTCTGTCTTAAAGAAAAGGAAACCAAAGCTGAGGGTTTAAATGACTTGTCCAAGGTCATCCAGAAAAATCAGCCAATTGGAAAGCTCAAATGTCAACTTTTCTGCCTTATCTGGTAAGTGGATGACACCTAATCTTAAACAAGCTGCTTCACTAGTGTGTATGTGCGCGCGTGTAGCATAAAAATGACAGAGTGCTCCTTTCAGTAGCACTAAAATTTGAATGACACAGAGAAAATTAGCACAGCCCCTGCACAATGATGGCATAAAAATTTGTTAAGTGTTCCCTGTTTTTAAAAAACTGATATGGCAAGCAGGGGTTATAGCTCAATAATACAGTATATGCTCAGCATCCATGAAGCCATAGGTTTAATCTCCAGCACAATAATAATAACCAAAAAAATGGAAGAAAAATGATGTTGAACTCGAATCTGTCAATTAAAATTGATTAAAAATAATTTTATTTTACATAGCTTTTGAAATTTTTTCATACTATCCTTTGAAATAATCAGAGCCATGGTAGATTAAAGAAAAAAAAGAAGAGAGAGAGAAAATGATACTAGACTTCATTCTTTTTTTTTTTTTTTCCTAACCTTAAGAATTTTGGATTTGGTGCAAGGAAAAATATTTGTTTTAATCAGATGATATGTGTTGACTAACTGAGTTTCTTAAGCCAGTACTTCTATGGCCTAAAATTGAAAGAACAAACCTACTTCATTCTAATTTTATGATAATTATTGTAGATGACAGTGAATCTTTTTAGTATTGTTCATTCACACGGCAAATTAATTATGTTTACTCATTAATGCTAATTTAAAATCATGACAATATCACAAAGGTCACAAGTGACCTGTCAAAGGCATCTGGATTTTTATTTTATTTTATTTTTTTTGGTACCAGGTATCGAACTCCGGTCATCTGGATTTTTAGAACTCTCAGAATCAACACAGAAGGCTTCCAGCCCCTAACAACCTCCCAGCTTTGCCAGGATAACAATCCCTCCCTGAATATAACCGAACACTTGCAACAGGGAAGCATTCCACCACCCCTAGAGGAACAGGGTGCTTAGAATCTGAAGGGATGCAGTAGGCTGCCAGCCACCACTCTGAATAGGCCATGAGGCTCAGGCATAAAATAACACCCTTTAGTCAAAATTGTTGAGCACTAGCAGTGTTTGGTCTTCTTGTACTGGAAAGCAATGAACATTGAGATTCTTGGCTGTCTCCTTTCCCCACCTGGGTTTCTGAAGAGTAAAGAGACCTTCCCTCCCTATAAAAGCAGCAGAATTTGGTGCAGGACAACAAAGATGATCAGAATGGAGAACTGCTCTTCTGCTGGAGATTAGGAGAACTGGTTTCTGCAGGAACATCTGTGAAACACACCTGGGATCTTACTTCTGACACAGCCCCAGTGTCTGTGGGACGGGGGAATTAACATCCAGCACACCGACCAAGGGCCAAGAGACAGCCCACCAAGGCAGTATACAGACTCGATGCAAACCCCACTGAAACTCCAGAGCTAGAAAAAAGAACCCTAAAATTCATATGGAATGAGAAAAGATGCAGAATAGGACTCGGATGTAGCTCAGTCATAGTGGCCACTACCATGTGTGAGGCCCCGGGTTCCATCCTAGCATGGGGAGGGGGGAGGGGCCCCCAGAATAGCCAAAGTAATCCTGAGCAAAAGAGCAAAGCAGGAGACATCACAATTCAAGTTATGAAATCACAATTTCAAGTTATGCTATGATGCTACAAT